AGTATAAGGCATCCCCCCGATAATAAGACCTCCCCGATAATAAGGCATCCACCGATGTGTACCGTATTCTTCTTCATTGAAAAATAAGACATCCCCTGAAAATAAGACCTAGCGCATCTTTGGGAGCAAAAATTAATATAAGACACTGTCTTATTTTCGGGGAAACAGGGTAGCTAGTGCTAGTTTCTGGGCAGACGCTATTAGATCTTGTTTTAGGTGGGGCCCTTTAACTGTCTCTTACAACTATCTTAAGTGTCGGGTGTGTTCACGCAAATTTTAACTCAATGCACAACAAGGTTTCACCCAGCTCCCAATAATATCAAAATTCTCAGGACTGGGCCTTACTTGAAGCTTTGTAGCACTCAGAACATGTGTACTCCCTTACTACAAGAGGAGCTGCATTTCTTCAAAGGGCTCAAATACTGAAATGCACCTTTCCCATGGTTTTCCGGACTCTGCTTCATGTTATGCCAGTGACATTTTGCATTAGTGGAGTTTGGCTTATTACAAAGGAATTGGGGGCAGTTTTCAGAATGAGGGAGAGGAATAAATTAGACCAATGATCAGTTAAATGTGAGGGGCCAAATTCTGCTCTCAATTTTATCCATGTAATTATACCCAGTTTTTTTCAATACAGTTGCATGGGTATAGTTGGGAACAGAATTTCTAAAAAAATGAGGCAGTTTTCACTATTGTTTGGGGCTGAGAATTAGGAGTTTTGGATTCTCCTCCTACCCCTGGCTTGCAGAGTAATTTTTGGAGATTCAGTTTTTAACCTTTGTGTTCTGAGTCCTCATATGTAGCATGAGAGTGATAATACTAAACCACGTTTTCTTAGTGATCTGATTTCCCCCGATGAATGGTTAGTATCAGTAATAAAAACAGCATGAACAACAATTAGCCATGGCAATGGCTGAGTAGGAGAAGCGTACAGCTGGTCAAGTTGTATCACATGAAAGAGCCAAGCAGATAAACAAAATATTCTGAGCAGCTGTAGTGGTATTTTGGGAGCTTTTGTCTTTTTTAGGGGATAGGGTAGAGACAAGACAGTCACATGGTATCATCCATGCTATTATAAATCAGCAAAGAACCACTGACTAAAACAGATGGGTTGTGGTCAGTTATTTCTTTGTACGTCATCGTGAACCAGTGGTCTCTGTGTGGTGCTCCATGACAGGAAAAGCCTTAAGGTAGTCAAGTGGGGGTGATGCCGTATATGTCACCAACTATTCAAAAGAACAGAGAGATTAATTGTCGTGCAGAGCACAGAGAACACCTCTGTGAATTATGTCATTCTAATTGGAGTAAAGCCATGTAAAGCTACCAGAGAAAGAGGACTTCCGTACTTCCCAAATACCTTTGCTAAGTTCTCATTCCTCTTCTGCTGCTCCAGTCACATTGCCTCTCAGGCTGTATATTATCTTTTCCACATATGGCAGCCTGAATATTTCACTGTAATGGTCCATGATGTTCACATTGTTTGACCTTCTGCCTACTGCTGATGTTCCTGCCTGAAATTCTTTCTAAGGATAATATAAACTCTTGATCAACAAGGAGTCCGGTGGCACCTTAAAGACTAACAGATTTATTTGGGGATAAGCTTTCGTGGGTAAAAAACCCACTTCTTCAGATGCCTCGAGATAAACTCTTGATAAGTTTCAGATCTTGCAGAATAAAAACCCTGTGTGAATAAAAAGAATATGCATTATTTTCAGTGGCAGGGAAGGTCTAAAAATAATTGGATCAACATTTATCCTCTATTTTCCTCTCAGTAGTTGACTATGCCACCCCTACTCTAATTCACTAGATTGGCTTCCTCTTTCCTTCTGCATCAAATTCAAGGTTGTGCCCAACTACATGACTGTTTACACCTCTGCTTTTACTTCAGACTGCACAGCCTTCTAGACGTTTGCATCCTTTTCTTCTTAATGCATCCTTCCATCTTTGGTTTTCACCTTCTTTTAGGCTGCCTCCTACGCTGGGTGTAGTCTCTGATTTCCTGTGCACCAGCCACATTCTCTGTCTTCCTTCAAACTCACTTTTCCATTACCTTGCTATAGCACTCTCTCATTGACTATGTGTCCATGTCTTCTTGTTTTTAGACTGCTCTCCCTAGTGGCGTAGCCAGCTTCTAAGAGGAGGGGGAGCAAACATAAAAAAAAGGCGCTTCCCCTTGGCTCCTCCTCTGGCCACGTCCCCTTGGCTCCTCCTCCAGCCGCTCCGCGCCCCCCCTTGGCTTCTCCTCTGG